TACGAGCGAGAGCTGCGGCGCTCGGCGTCGTTCGGCGACGTTCGGGTTTCGCGGACTTGCGAAACTTCGCGCGGCCTGTAATTATGCTTTGAGTTTAAAATTGTCGAGCGCACCGCGCTCTCATCGCGTACGGTGACCGGGGGGTCACCGTAGCGGCATCCGGCGAGTTAGTATTGCCGGGGACGATGCAGTTAGGGGTGCATCGTTACAAATGTTATACACTACATTATCTTCACCGTATAATGTCTTGAACATTCGTACAAAATAGATTAATAGTTCTTTCACTGCCAATCTAAGTGTGTAATTTTTACACACTTAACCGTGTAAAACCTTGTAGTCACTTTTTACGCTTTTCTACGCGTGTTATGTCTTTACACGCTTTATCTATGTTATTTTACACGTTTAAATATGTGTTTTTTTACATGTGTACACATTAAATTATATATTTAAAATGTGTACTTTTTTTAAGGTTAGGAATAGGATAAACCCGCTTTCAATAATGTAATATTAAATTTAATATCGGTTCAATTTATTTACAGTAAATTATATACATATGTATGTATATATACATACATAAACCGAGATTAAAGTTAATCTGACATTGATGGATCCAAGCTTTATTGTAGTTGTAATTTCTGAAAACAGTAATATCTTATTAAATTATTTATTTAATAATATTACATGTAGATATAATATATGAATATCTTATATATATACTGTTCATGTAAAATAACATATATAAAGAATATATATAGAATATTTTAAATGTACATAAAGGAACTGCATAGAATATATAAAGAGTATTAAAAAATTCTTTCATAAAGTATAAGAGATTATATATAAAAAGAGAAACATAATATATTAAAAATGTTCTTATCAAGTATGAACAATTGACTATAGTTAAAAAATATTTTGTGAGCTATTTGCAGTGTCTAAGCCTTTCAAAATATCATCACGAGAGTGAATAAACTTTTTGATCGTTGTAGAAGTGGTTGGCAATGGAGAATTGAAAAGCTCATAATTTATAAAATTTAAAACATTTACATAAGCTGCCGGAAATGTCCTATTCCATACATAGTAAGAAGCGAATAATCCAGCAATGATTTTTTCCATTGTAGGTTGAGGAATTTGTATTCTTATTTCAGCATCTGCTACCAAGTAGGCTATCGTAATATCCTGACCATCTATGTACATAACTACACGAGGTGCATCGTCTTCATTTGTGATTAAATTATCTGTATCTCCCATTATCTGAGAATAAATTAATTTAAATTAAATATTTTATTATGTAATTACCTTAAATAAAAAAAGAATAATATTAAAATCAGTACTAACTTCTTTGACAGTGAATAAAGCAGGGAAATTTTTTTTGTTTTTCCTAATTGTAAGATCAGCACACAGATTTTGTATGACAAAGGCTTCATTATTATTAGTAGGTTTTTTTACAGTGTAATACTTTGTGAGTTTCCCAATCATTTTCTTAATTCCATTGAATAGTGTTTCTTCTGTGATTTTTTTTAATTGTAAAAATTCTGAAAGTATCTGTATGCAATAACAGAAAAAAATATATAAATATTGATGTCCAATTAAGAATTTGAAGAATAAATATTATATAAAAGATACCAGTTCATAATTGTTTAATTGAGGATACTTTTGCACAATGTCAATTATTCGTTTTGCTTCATCAATCCATGGCCTTCGATGAGATATTGTCATTTTGAGAAGATGCTTCATGTGAGAAATGTTCTTGTGATCAACAAATTTTTTTTCCAATTCTTTTAACGCACTTTGAATATCTGTATTAGTAACATGATCAGTCGCCCTATAAAATAATTTTCAAAATTGTATATTATTTTGTTTCAAATTTGTTTAAATTTTGTTAATATAAAAGATGTAATTATTTTCTAACCGATCAATATTTTCAGCAATAGCTTGAACAAATGTATGTTTTATTTCTCCCTTCTCATCTTTACTTCTTTTTTGGAATTGTCGTTTTTCCAGTGCCCGATGGTTTCTAATCCAAACACTTAATTGGCTTTTAACTAAAGTCTACAAAAGGAAAGATGAATATACTCTAAATACAAAATCCAGAATATTTTTAAAACACAATAAAAATACTGCAAAGATACGATAGGAAAAACAAGCGTATATATGTGTGTGTGTGTGTGTGTGTATATATACATATAGTAATTACACAGCCGCCACCGATATCTGCAAGTGCAGGATAAGCAGCAACAATGCTTTGAGCAAAATTTTGATAATCTGATTTCGTTGGCCATTGATTTGTCACATAAGATAAATGTGCAGCCCAAAATGCTATAAAATTCTTCTGAGCCCTTATTAATCCGATATCGTCTAATTTTTTTTGTAAATCAGGTGTAATAGATGGTAAAATTATTGGATAGCGAATAGAACCAGATCCTGTCACTTGTGCTTTTACTGAATGTATCATGTTTTCTTCATTTTTAGATCATTTTGAACTGCTTGGACCATCGACTAGAATATTATCTGTTTTTTCCTTTTTATCTTCTTCTTCTATATCCTAATTAAATTATTTGTCAAGTTTGAATTTATGAGTGAAAACCAAATTATTCAATTATTATGATTATACAATATAGGTTATAACAAGCTTACAGGTTACTTACCAAGTAACAGGTTGATTTTTCAATATCTATACAGCTATTATCACCATCAATGGGCTCTGTATATAATACTTTTACGATAGATTCATTGTCTTTATGAACAGAAGAAGAGTCTATTAACTCTGCAGTTATAGTGTTTGCATGCACTAGTATTAGTAGTACTGTAACCTCACTTTTATCAGCAATTTCGTCATCGTCTTCCAAATCACACAATTTGTTATTTCTATCTGGATCAGGTTTTTGTAAAATTATCATTTTATGTTGTAGCATCATATTAAGAACAGTATCGTTTTTACTAGCTTCCTTCAATTTGTGTCGGATGATCTCTACTTCCGATACGTTTTCCTCAGGCGTAAACTTAATGCACTTGCAACGGCCGTCAATTAAACAATACACTTTTTTTTCCATTATTGTGGAATAAATTATTAATGTGGAATCAATCTGTGATGTACAACGCACGGTCTATAATACACGCGACTTACGTATACGCAGTCGATGAAACAATCGACATGTGAGTCAACAACGGTTATACGATCGCGCGATTTAGACGCTCATGCGCTGTAAGCTTCTGGTCGCGTTCAGCATGTGTTGCGAAGCGGACCCGTGAGCGCTGCTATTGGATGATCTAGAAGAATACACCAATAGCAGCGAGCGTTCACTAGTAGATCCGCTTCGCAACAGTTGAGTCTGCTGGAAGCAACCGTATATAGTCAAAAGTGCTAACCACTATAGGAGTATCGTTAGCAGTGTTCGAATTCTCATATTTTTGAAAAAAATAATATATATATATATATATATATATATCGATTCTGTACGAAAATGGAAAATTGTGAGATTGACAATACATTTGAGTGTGCCATGTGTCGATTTAAATGTTTTTCATCCCATCGATTAACGCAACATTACATTCGTAATCATAAACACGACCAATACTTTAGGGTCACGTGTGTTCAACCTGGATGTGGTGTTACATTGAAGAAATGGAAATCTTTTCGCCAGCATTTGTTTAGAAAACATCATGAAGTATATCCTATTTTAAATGAAGTAACTGAGCATATTGAAAATGATCAGTTAAATCACGATCCAATTATGATACACAATGAATCATTTGAAGGTAAGAAATATATCTTAGAAGTCTTCATAATTTGATAACTTTTATTATTCACACTAAATTAATAAACTATGTACAAGATATTGAAAATGCTTAATCCTGTTTTATAATAATTATTTGTTATCATATATACACCTTCAAGTTTCAGAATATTATTACAGATTTAAATATTTTTGTAGATCTCACATATTCATAACATTTTTACTTTTTTTTCTTAGATGAAGGTCATTTAGATAGAGGTCAAAAGCTAACACTAGAAGAAACTACAGAACGATTACAATTGCACGCTGCACAATTTCTCGTAAACATTCGAGAAAAATATAAAATATCTCACACAGCAATAGAGCATGTCATTGATGGAGTAACTCATTTGTTGGACACGTATTCAGCGATTATAATAGTCAGTTCTATTATTTTAAGCTCATTTTAGACGATCTGTAATTCATAACCAAATTCGGGACAGAATTTTATTTATAATATTGCGTGTTGTGTAATATAGAAAACATTTTAATAAGTAAAATCATACTTATAGAAAATATATATCATATGTAAAACTATAAATAGATTTTTATTTCGAATTTGGTTGTGAATTGTAGATCTAAAGTAGCCTTTACATGTTGAAATTTCTTTTATATTTTTCTAGAAAACTAATTCGATATTTATTTTCTTTTTTAGCAAGAAATTCAAAACACAATGGATCCTAATACAAAATTAGTTAATTTCCAAGATATTAAGAAAATATATACTGAAAAACATCCACCATCGTTGCTATTTTCGACTGTTCAATCAAAAAAAGCTTTAGATAAAGTATTAATACAAAAATTTAATATGGTATCAGCAGAGAGACATGCGCTTGGTACAAAACTTGTTTGGAAAAAGAAAAAACATTCGACTGGAAAAGTAGCCGAGATTTGTGAAACTACTTATGATGCTTACATTGTGCCTTTCTTAAAGAATTTGAAAAATCTTTTGGAAAACGATGAAGTTAGATCAAATATCGAGAATCCAAAGCCACATGAACCGGGAGTTTATCGAACAGTATTAGATGGAAGCTACTATCGAGAGAATCCTATTTTTCGCAATAATAACAATGCATTAGCTGTAATTCTTTACTACGATGATCTCGGTATTGCCAATCCTTTGGGCGCAGCCTCAAAGAGTCAAAAATTATCAGTATTTTACTGGACGTTAGGAAATATATATCCTGAATTTAGATCATCAAAGAATGCTATTCAATTATACGCGATTTTAAAAACAGAATATTTGAAAAAACCAGGAATTTTGAAAAAGGTTTTGGAATCATTTATGAAAGACATTGTAATATTAGAAAATGAGGGTGTTACTATAAATCTTGGAACAGAAACAAAAATTTTTAAGGGCTCATTATTATTTTGCGCGGGTGATACTCCTGCTTCTGCGTTATTAGGTGGTTTTAAAGAATCAGTTTCAGCTTATCGGTTTTGTCGTTCCTGTTTGACTGCAGCTGAAGAATATAAAACTCAATTTCATGATGATAATTTTACGACTCGTAATAAGACAATGCACAACGATCATTGTGAAATTGTATCTGATCCTACATTAACAATGGCAGCGAAAAAATTTTGGCAAAAAACATATGGAGTGATGAATAAGAGTCCTTTGTTGCAAAGTTCTAATGTAGATGTGACACTATGTCTGCCTCAGGATTGTATGCATATTCTCATCGAAGGCCCCGTAGAAATTACCATTCGTCGTTTATTAAGATATTGCATTTTTGAATTGCGGTTGTTTACAATTGAACAATTTAACAAGCGTATTACTCATTTCGATTACAGTCATTTTAAGAAAGATAAACCTGCTCTAATTCTTCGTGATCATCTGGTTGATGGTGGCTGTTTACGACAAAGTGCAGCACAAATATTTACTCTAGCACACATGCTACCTTTTTTAATTTCGGATTGGATACAACATGAAAATCCACTTCTCAATGAGCACATAAATTGTTATATTACACTATTACAAATCATGAATGTTTGTCTTGCTTATGAAATACACGAAGAATCAATTGAGTTATTGAATCGAATGATTGAAGTATATATTACACGATTCATTAATTTATATCCAGATTCCATTGTACCAAAATTTCATTTTTTAATTCATGTTACAAGATACATTAAATTGTTTGGACCACCAAGACAACAATGGTGTTTTAGATTTGAGGCATGCCATGCATATTTTAAATCACTTGTGCCGATTGTGCGTAATTTCAAAAATATGGCTTTTACCATGGCATATAGACATCAGTCACGCCTGTGTTCTAGGTTAATTTCATATCTGGTATCAATTCAAAACTATTTCTTTTTGAAGGAGATTATGTAGCACTTGGAACATCCGTTCTTTTATGTAATTTGCCTTTTGCAAAAATATTTTATAAAATAATTAATGAATCTGAATGGCTGACCTGCCAAATGATGCGATCACCAAAAGTAACAGTGCATGGCAGCACATATCATTACAAAAGTATAATTTTGTTAGAACATCACGAAGATGATTTACCAATGTTTGGAGAAATAGATGAAATATTGATTCATAACAAAGAAATATTTTTAATTATTTCAATATTGCAAACTCAATGTTTTGACTATATAACAAACTCATACGAAGTTATACAATTTCTCAATGTACCAAACTGTGTGAAAAATGTGAAAGATTTAATATTTCCTTATCCACTTTCATCTTTTCTAAGAAAAAATAAAAAATATGTACCATTAATTAATCATCAACGTATTGAATTTTATGGATAAAATATCCATTTTCAATGTATAATTCCAAAATATGTAAAAATAAATTTATCATATTACAAGTTCATCTTATTTGTTATAATTTAGAATATTAAGTATTCTTGAATTATACAAGGATCATTAAAAATGAGATATTTTAAGTTTAAGGAGGAAAGTCATATGTTTTTGCCGAACACTTTTTATAAAAAACGCTAAAAATTTTCTTTTTAACTATCTTAAACTATAATACACATTTTTTTCATAATTACAAATGAAACTCATGTGTAAGAAGATTTAAATGTGTAAAGTCATTTTATGCGTGTACTTTTTACACATTTTAAATTATTTGGAAGTACACGTTTACACATTTAATAACATCTATTATATTGTACACAGCGAAACGTGTTAATCTATATGTTTAAATGTGTAAATATATTTTTTATGCGGTATAGTGTGTTATTTTTACACGCAAGACTAAATCACACACATAAATGTGTAATTTTACACGTGTAAATGTGTATTTATTACACATTTGGATTTGCAGTGTTGGCATAGATATTATTATAAAAGCAGTCTTGTGGATGACACAATATACATATGGCAGTGTGCAAGACACAAAAATGTTTTAAATACTTTTCATCCAAGTATTTTTGTAAAATTATAGGTCCGACATATAATAGAAATATTCTAAATTCTGTCGTCTTTCAATGATCCAATTCGTTTATACTCCGTGGACGACGCATAAATTCAATAGGTATAAATGTACGTAAAGATACTAAATCTTTAGATAATTCTTCGATATCTGTAGCACATAATCGTGATATTTGATTGCCTTTAATCCATAAATGTATCAATTTTTTCATTACTCCTAAACATATCAAGTGCATATAATCCAGTGGGAAATTACCAATCATATTCATGTCAGGCAAATTTTCGAAAGGAGAAGAGGAAACATGATGGTCTTCATTTTCTCGGTTTCGGAAATTACTATCAGTTCTTAAGACGGCATTCTCATCCAAGAAAACCATTCTATGATTCAAATAATCACCTTCGCAAAAACATTTCCCACAACCAAAATATGCATTATGACCTTTTGTAGCAGTTACAAAAGATTTTGCAGGAGCATCACAGATAACTGCTCTGATTGTGACAAGGTAATTTTTATTTTCAAACCAAAAGCCTTCTGTATGCAAAATACGATATTCCTCACAAAAATCATTTAATAGATCTTGTGCGATTGTAGGTTTTTTGTAACCGTGATAAGCACCAATGGGAAAGGGTTCTCCAATATTACGAATATTAAAAATTTGTCCAAGTACAGGCCACAGTTGACTCTTCGAGCTTTTTGCAAGAGGTAGACCATCAATATTTACATTAATTTCTATATTATTTATATTATTTTCATTTGTGCAGTATTTTAATTTATCGCGCAATGACATTTCTAAACCATAGTGAAAGTAATGTCCACCTCCGCACTCGCGAATAATTGTATTCTTTGGTGTATTTAAAAGAGTTCTGGAATCACTGGGCAATTCATTATAACCTTCGTCCTTCAAAATACGCAATAAAGCTGTAAGACATTTTTGTGTTACATTTTGTTCAATTGCCCACGTACGTAATCTTTCCTTTAGAGTATTTTTGCCACTTGAATGCGTATGTGTTGAAACAATATCATGTATATCTTGTATAGTTGGATCGTTTTCTGACTGCATATCTGTCTCTATATCTGTGTTTGAAGATAAATTTATTATACTGAGATCTTCTAACTGTCTATCTGTTTCCGTATCAGATATATTGTTGGAAGGTAATTCTATCGTATTGAGATTCTCAGAAAAACATTCTGTATAAATAGACTTTCGCGTATTAACAAGATGAATTTCTTGAAATGTTATATTTTCATTTTTTTCTTGAATCAATAAACGGCGAGCTTGCTGCCGGCGAGATAAATCTCGAAAGGGTTTAATTTTCGGCATTGTAATTTTGTTAATTCTATGCACACCTATTTAAACAAACATCAAAAAAATAAACCAGTCGTAAAAATTATACTACGCAATAAAAAATAGAGAAGATTTTCGGACATGCTAAAAATTGCGCAATATTCAGAACTCGGTAAAAAATCATTGCAGACAAAAGTTCAAAAATGCATTTTATAGCTTGAAATCTCTACTTTTGAAATTGATAATTGATATTTTGATCTGACGGATCTTTTACGGAACTATACGCTAATCACACGCAGAAAATGCGATTTGCAGAAGTCGAAAGAATTCTTACCTTTAATTTGCTCTTTTATTAAGCGTTAATCGAGTTATCGAATGTAGAAGTAATGTAGATAATGTAGATTTGTCCGTGTAGGTAGGTGTAATGTAGGCTTAATCTTAACCTCGTATTAAGCCAGTAAACAATTTAGTTTCTCTCTCTCTTTATGTATCCCAAGTTTTTACTTCTATATATCCGTCTGAAAAAGTAATTGTAATAGGAGATAAAAAGTAATAGGAAATAGTTTGTATGCAAATAATTAACTTGCAAGCACCATATTTGACAAAAAAAA